TATATATATACACACACACACACACACACACACACACACATATATATATATATATATATATATATATATATATATATATATAATGAAATAAGTTGCTTCATAGGTAGATTCATAGATTCATATAAATTAGAAATCAAACAATTTATGTATCTGCCTCAGAATAAAATATTTATACGAGTACTGCCGTATTATTATTAGTAGTGTTACTGTATTATATTCTTATTTTGGTGTTTTTTGCAATGTTTTGCATGTTGGTGCACATACAATATGTACGCGTGAGTGCAAACAAAGGCCGTAACAATGTTTATAATTTTGCAGATAATAGCATAATTATTATTTATTTTAGATATGTTCTGTTATAATAATTTTAAAAAAGGGTTAAAGTCTGTGGGCGTTCAACCATACTCTTCATTATAAGAAGACTACTACAGTAAGACTAGTCGGTGTTGCATGATAAATGGTAGGCCTACTCGAGCCTTGGATAAACACTGGACGACGTGCAAACAGCGGCAGGAAGCTCTATAAATATTCATTGCATCAAGGAGGCGTTACGTTGAATCTATAGAGCTACCAATCTCCACTGATTCAAACGTCCAGGAAAAACAATTCGCAGGCCGGACATTACCAGCTGTATTTCAACAATGGTTTCCGACCGGGATTAATTTTCAACAGCGGTACCGGACAGCATGTCAACACACCTTCTTTTAAATACGTCTTAAGGGACGTAGACACTATATTATATAAAATGCTTTAATAAATATAACGGTATTTATTGTCAATCTTAAAACACACAGGCAAAATCAGAGCTTGAGGTTCGAGTCATAAAATAGATATTATAGAGGGACTCACAAATCTTAAAAAAAGTTTTCAGTCAATGTAAGTTAATATAAACTACGATCCCATAACTAGGTTGTGTGAAAAAAAAAACGTCTCTTCCTGCTGTTGGCTCTGTATTGTCTTTTTATTATTATTATTAATAGCGAATACATCACTGTCCTACTTGTAGGTGACAATCCCTTACACAAGACAAACATACACACACGATGCATTTACATAAACTAAATCTCAATTTGAGATTTAGGGAGTGGAGTTGTTGCGTGAGAAAAAATCCTGCAACACAGACAGGAATTATACCCAGGACCCTGGGATTGGAAGGCAAGCATCTTAACCACCAAGCTATTCAACTCCACTATCAAAAGCGCCACCACAATTATTTTTCTGACGGCAAAACACACCTTTTCACTTTTAATATTGCGATTCTACGTACCATAAGACAAATGTAAAAGTTGACATGCTGTTTCAGGTACAACTTTTAAGCTAATCCAAGCCAGTAACCTTTGTTGAAATTCAGTGGAAAAAGTCCAGCCGGAAGCCTTTGTGAAGTATAATGAAGCGGATGAAGACATCAATCGTCTAATCATTTAATCATTATGATTTTACCGGTAGGTATGTACATAACTAAAATCAAATTTGCGAATGGCACAATATTCACGAACAATTTTTTTTTATAGATGTTGTTGGGAACAGCAATGTTGCCAAGCAAAAATTACTGACACCATCATTATCAAAAAGTTGGAATACCAAGTCTGTAGGCTACTAATAACTACTCTATATGAATGTGTGTAATATGGTTTAGTTAAAAATTGGCCTAAGATGCTTATACAAACAAATTAATGTAAAACAATGAATTTGTATATCAAAATTAAAATTTACCTAACCGTAATAGTTTTTCGTTTAAATATGTGTATACACTTTATAACGCACGTAAGCATTACATCATTGTGTATAGGACAGGTTAATTAAGCTAAGTTAAAGCGAAATAATTTCTTAAGCTGAATAGCTGCTATTTTATCATGCTCTTTATATACTTTTCAGGACAAATAATTAAATTGAACTTTAGATAGGACTTAAAGGAAATTCACTTCTAGGAATTGAAAATTTCATATCTCCCCATCATATATTGAACACTCTATGATTTGTCTTTATGTATGAAGCTGTATAAGCCGCATATAAACTTTTCATATACCAGTCTAAGTATTTGTACAAATGCTATTAATGACCAATATGATATGACAAA